ATTTTTTTTTTCGAGAATAACATAATTGCACTTTTATCATAGATACGAAAAATTTATGCTAAACTTTGCATTATCGCAAATCTCTACATTTCAATGGTGCCTAAACCCAGATTGTGGATCAGGGCAAGATCACTATCAAGGAGGTAAATTATGGTCTGTATTTTTGTATTCCTTACCGGAATAATTACACTTATAACTATTTTTAAATACATTCTTTAAAGAAAATGTTCCGATAATGACCTGCGATTCATGCGGGCATAAATCATGTATAGTGCATGGACATCCAGTTGATCTTGTGTGTGAAGAATGTAGGCAACAAGCGGAGGATGAACTTAGACGACAAGAAGAGGATGAGCACAGACAAAGGGAAGAAGAAGAACGCAGGCGAAGAGAGGAAGAAGAACGTAGGCAAAGGGAGGAAGAAGAACGTAGACAAAGGGAGGAAGAAGAACGCAGGCGAAGGGAGGCAGAAGAACGCAGGCGAAGAGAGGAGGAAGAACGCAGACGACAGGAGGAAGAACGTAGGAGACAAGAGGAAGAACTTAGGAGACAGGAGGAAACGCGCAGACGAGAGGAAGAACAAAGGAGATTAGCAACACTTCAAAATGCTGAGAATGCATCCACATCCTACGTTGGTCAACTAAAGCAATGCCCAAAATGTGCGAGTAGAATTGAGAAAAATGGTGGATGTGACCACATGACATGTAGGAGGCCGGGATGTGGACATCAATTTTGCTGGATGTGAGTAAAATATTCCGTAAATTATAAATCAAATTTTTTATTGATTTTAATTATATTTAAATTCTCCTGATATAAACCGCTAGAATTTCATTTTTATTTTTATTTTTTTTTATCCAGTTGCATGGTTGACTGGAGTAGAGTAGTAGCCCAAAATGCGAGAGGTCACAATACTAATTGCAAATATTATCGTAATTAAGATTATAATATATTTTTGTTCATGAAATAAAACTAGGCTCTATCGCTATGACTGTGGTAACACCCATGTATTAATACTTTACCATAATTAGACAAGAATTAGCCTATCTAATTTCATTATGGTTGGAAATTGCCTTGAGCCAACTGTTAGACAGTTTATAAAATGTCGATTTTGTTTTATGGCATTTAAAAACAGCGCTAAATACATAATCATGGTTGTTATTGGACTTATTCCAGTAAAATTCAAAAAGCTGGACCAAAGTCCAATCCAATCCATATCAAAAAATTTTTTTGACTAATAGACAATGATTACTAAAAAGCTTAATTAATTGCTGATAATTTTTATTACTGTAATTGTAATTGATGAAGGGTGTTGCTAATAAATTAGTGGCACTTTTATTAAAAGATTCTAATTGACTCTTCAATTATAATTATTAATAAATTCTCAGCGATTGTTAACGATTATTTTCAATATAATTTAATAAATATATACAACGATTTTCTCAGCTAGTGATCTAAATTGGCTCAAATTTTTACAGGAGATTTTGTTTGGTGTTTATTTTTTCGGACCTTTCCAAATTAATCGTTGATTTGTTATTTTGTGTTTCCTCGTGAGACGTCACATTGCCCATTTTAACCAAAAAGGAAGAAATATTTTTTGTCGTTATCTTGCAAGTTACGTGCGTAACGTACGTTACGTTACGATCTAGATATGATAGAGTCCCCAAGATTCTTTTCACGAACTTAGGTTGTATTTATACTTGCAGACATGGGAAAATTTCCTTTACAGGGGTTCAAAATGTTTAATTATAGATCAAATAAGTATTTAATCTTAATTTATTTAAAAAAATAAAAATAAAATATTTTTTAAAGATCTTAATTTTTTAGCATTTGATATTTAACTTTTTACAAGGTATTAAAAAATATAACTTTAAAAAGATCTTGAATAATTCTTACTATGTTCTTTAAGTCAAAAAAAAACAAAAAAAAGAAAAAACTGATAGTTAAAAATATTTTTTTTAAAAAAAGAACCTACTATTTCCACCATATCAATTTGTTATGGCACGTCACCTAAAGTCATCAAACCTATATATTGGGACCCCCACAGCAAAAGGGAGCATTGGGCCATTTTAAATTTCGGTCTTTAAATGAGTATATCTTGTGATCTAGTGATTAGAATTAAATGATTTTTATGTCATTCAATTCATCTTATTGAGGTGAATTGAATGCATAAAATCATTTAATTCTAATCACTAGATCACAAGATATACTCATTTAAAGACCGAAATTTAAAATGGCCCAATGCCCCCTTTTGCTGTGGAGGTTCCCAAATATATATATTTTTAAAGGCATCTAATCTTCTAATTTAAACAATATTAAAAAATATAAACCATAAAAATAATAAATTAAATGATTCTCTTTCAGATTTACGGCTTAGTTTTTTGATTTTAATTTAATTTATTAAGTTATTAATGGGCAATATAAATATCAAATTTTTTTGGTAATATAAATTTTTAGCCAATAAAAATCAAGTAACGTGATCAAAAGCCAATAAAAATTCAGAATGAATTACATTTTTTAGGTGACGTGACCATATTTCCACCATATGGCCGGAATTAGGGTTAGGGTGAATCGCATTTAGTCATTGTTGTTATTTTATATGATTAATCATGGCGGAAATAGCAAATTAACATGGTGGAAATAGTAATTCTCTTAAAAAATAAAGAAGTTTTACTAATCTTTTGCTCTTAAATAAAATTGTAAAACACTCTTTTTTGATTTTTAGTTAAATTATTAGAGAATTATTACGCTTTTTAAATTTCATTTTTAATATTCAAAGTTATTTTCGAATTCTGCAAAATAATATGATTCGAAAATGGTCTTAACCATTGAAAATGACTGGGCCGTTATTGAAATATATCCATAATATCATAGCGCTATCGTTAATGAAAATTTCATTGTACGTATTTATATGTAAAATTTCATGCTGTGCATTTTTTATTTTAAACCAAAAAATGATAATAATTAAGAATTTACTAAAACTATCTTTTGGCTTCCAAGTAAAAATGAAATCTTATATATATGTATTTAAGACTTTTATAGATAATATCCTCTGAAATGAGTAGATTCGAAAAAAAATTCATTTTATGATGTCTTTGTGGGAAAACTGTTGTGGAATTATGTTTATCTCATGAATGTTTATTTTTTTTCGAATTCTTTTGCTGGGATGATGAATTGATTGTCAAGACCTTAATAAAGACTGTAACGAATGAATTTGATAATCACTTCTAAATTCATGATACGTAGATCCGATAATCTATTATACGGCATAGCAAAAAAATTAAGCACTGCTGACTAAAGTGTCCCCTAATGATTATCTTACTTTTCCATTTACCAATTCAAATTACACAAAATTCTATATTTGCGTGACTATTGTAACGTAATGGGATATTGTCACGGTTTTCCCGTGACAAGACAAGACAAGAGCTTATTCTGCTACGTACGTACGATAATTTTATTGATTTTTGGTTTATCTTACATCCTAATTAAGTAATTGGCCGCAGTTGATTGAAACTCGGTTTTAAGAATTACTTTATCGAGCAGGAATCGGAGGGATAACCAGTGGAAATGAAGTTTCGTGAAAATGCATTTTCATGAAAACGAAGTTTCAATCTTTAATTAGATCGTGAAAAAACATTTTTGCATCATA